AGGGCCCCAGCCATTCCCAGCAAGAAGGGCCACGCTGGGGGGGTCTCACCTTTGGCTCCGCAGAGGAATGTTCACCACGTACGGAAACACCACTTCAGCCATCTTGTTGGTGCTGCAGTTGGGAGACATGTCCCTGGAGGAGCAGCACCTCCCTAGGCCGGAACAAGCGTTAGGGGCGGCCGGCGCTGCCTGGGACCCTGCTTCAGAACTGCCCTGCCAGCTGGCACGAGGAGGAAGGCTCGGCCCAGTTTCTAGGGGACAGCGGTTACCTCGCACAAAAGCCCCGCCCGGACTAGTGCCTGGCCTGCAGGCAGGTGAGAGGCGCGTGGCATCAGCCACTGCTCACGCCCCCCCGTGTGCTCCAGCCCGGGGCATCAGCCACTCCTCACGCCATCCCGTGTGCTCCAGCCCCGGGCATCAGCCACTCCTCACGCCATCCCGTGTGCTCCAGCCCCGGGCATCAGCCACTCCTCACGCCATCCCGTGTGCTCCAGCCCCGGGCATCAGCCACTCCTCACGCCATCCCGTGTGCTCCAGCCCCGGGCATCAGCCACTCCTCACGCCATCCCGTGTGCTCCAGCCCCGGGCATCAGCCACTCCTCACGCCATCCCGTGTGCTCCAGCCCCGGGCATCAGCCACTCCTCACGCCATCCCGTGTGCTCCAGCCCCGGGCATCAGCCACTCCTCACGCCATCCCGTGTGCTCCAGCCCCGGGCATCAGCCACTCCTCACGCCATCCCGTGTGCTCCAGCCCCGGGCATCAGCCACTCCTCACGCCATCCCGTGTGCTCCAGCCCCGGGCATCAGCCACTCCTCACGCCATCCCGTGTGCTCCAGCCCCGGGCATCAGCCACTCCTCACGCCATCCCGTGTGCTCCAGCCCCGGGCATCAGCCACTGCTCACGCCATCCTGTGTGCTCCAGCCCCGGGCGGGGCTGTCAGAGGCTCCCTGTGGCACTCACTCCCTTCTGGTCAGAGAACAGGATCTGCCCTGGCCAGGCTGGGCTTCTGGCAAGCAGGCACCATGCTGCAGGCACCGCTTGGCTTTCTCTACTAGAGACCCTGGCTGGCTACATCTCCATCCTACTGGACAGCCTCTTGCCACGGGCCTTACTTCTGGGCCAGGGAAGCGGGGAGAGCAGCCTCTGATCCCCCAGCTTCATCGCCATCCTCTGCCGAGTCTGGCCCGGGGAAGGGGGCGTGGCTGCCGGCTCTGGAGCTGTCCGGCGAGGGACAGGATGCTTCGTGCTGCTGCTCTTGGAGCTGGGAAAATCGAAGTCCGGTAACCGCAGCGCCCAGCCACTCGATCACCTCCCTGGCAGGGGAACGTGAATGTTAATCAGGCTGATGCCTGGCTTCCAGCGGCGCGTTCGGACCCACGTCCCGGGCCACGCACTGGGGGAGGGGCTGCGGAGAGCCACGCGCGGTGCCACACAGCCCTCCTGGTCTCGTGCCGTCTGGCCCCCCGGCTGCTCTGACCGCGAGGCATTTCCTGCCGCCAGCCTCCTGGAAGGACAGAGCTGCACTGCGCACCGCGGCCCTGCCTCGAGGGCTCCGGGTTCTCAGTGCCCTGCCCCCGGGGAGGGCTCCTTACTTGACGTTGCTGAAGCACCGGTCGCAGGACAGCACCTTCTTGGCGATGGATTTCTGCAGGCAGCGCAGCCGGAGGTTCAGCTGGAAATCGTCCTCCAGGGTCTGCACCACGTACTGCAGGAACAGGACACGGCCCGGGAGCTTCTCTTCCTGCGGGGCAGAGCGTGGGAAGGTGGAGCCCGAGGCCCCTCGGAGGTGAGAGGGCAGAGGCCAGCGGGGAGACGGACGGGGCAATGGCACACGCTCCAGCAAGGCAGCCAGGGGAGGAAGTGCCTTGCCTGGCTGGCTGAGGGGGCAGCTCCCTGGGGTCCAGC